ATTTATCTTTATATAACCAAAGTCATGGCTAAAAAATGGCAGAGATATAATTCAAACTTAAGTCAGCTCTGTTTACATTACCCTTGGACTACCCCAATATGAAGACCAACTTAGTACAATCAGATTAAGCAACCACATATCCCATCCTGAACCCCATTTAATACCTCCTTTGGGCCTCCTGTATTTTAGTTATCTTCCATTTAAAACCAACCCCTCCTCAAAAAAAAAAAAAAAAAAAACACTCTCTCATATTTTTCCTGACAAGAGCTGGTCAAATCAGTCTTTTGGATTCTCATGCATCGTAAGGTAAAAGAATGAACTATGAATTGGCAGAACATAATAAGTGAAGTACATACCTGAACTAATCACAGAATAAACCACAATTTAATTTTAGGAAGTGATACAGAAAGAAAACAAACAGCCATCACAAGACACAAAAAACTTTAGAAATTCTGTGTGCAGAAGAAGCTTCAAAAATCAGCAATTACAAAAACAATGATTTTAGTCACTTCAAAATTTCTCCCATTGACAGCAATGCTTTAATATAAGATATGACACACATATGCATAGGCATACAAACGATAGAAACACACAGACAACACACAGAACAGGCAAATCTTAGTCTAGTAATTTCTGCTTATCCTCGGAGATTTTTTTTTTCTTTTGGGTAGGACTGTGAACTGAACCCAGGGCCTCAAACATGCCAAGCAAGCACTCTACCACTGAGCTACAACCCCTTCCCAACCCTCCTCATACCTTCTCAGGTTTTATTTTTGAAAAAACATTGTTTTGATGGTACTGAGAGTTCAGGATGGCGAATCACTAAATTACATCAATACCCCCTTTTTTTTAAGAGTCTTGCAAAGTTGTCCAAGCTGGCCTTGAACTTGTGACCCTCCTGTATCAGTTCCCAGAGTAACTGGGATTTCAGGTCTATGCCAAAACACCCAGTTTAAAATTTTAAGGCAATTAAATTAATTCAACACATCATAACTCATTCAAATGAAGAATGTTTTAACCCAATTATTTACCAATACATAGACTCTAGAACTGTATTCAAAGCACAGTAATTTTCTGTATTTATTCAATGCTTTCCTTGAGACATCGTTTTGAAATAATAAGAATATACTGGAACTGTACATGTGTCTTATTAAAGCAAAGACTAAGTGCTTCAGGTTTGTGGGGTTTGTCTAAGAAGAACACAGCTTCTAAAGCCATCCAACTTCCAGTGTTCTACTGTTCGTTCAATAATCTTAGCAATCACTAATTCAAGGTCCAAGGTGTTTCTGACCTTTTAAGGAATATCCAAGCATTAATCCTGAGTATACTGTGCTCACTATTCTACTCTAGAAGCTGGCTCCTGACTTCTCCCTCAACCTCCTACAAATGGCTGTAAAGAGTCAACCCTCAAAACACAAGTCAGCCTTTGGCACTCAGAGAAACACAACGTGCTGGCCCAGGCTCGCTCTCACTTTCAGTTCTGTCCTTCATGAGCCCCTATTACAGTCAGTATCCCGCCCTTTCAGAAATCCTGACACAATCAGTCTGGGCCATCCTGGGCCATCTGTGTTGGTGCTTCCACGTGCAGCATGCTGAGCACAGTACACAATCCCTAAATTCCAGAGATACACGCACGTGTGTTAGTCAAGTGTCGGCTCGATACTCCAGAAATCGCCACAAGATAATGTGCAAGGTTTATATAAAACATTAAGATTTACACTCCACTATGATTATGAATCCAAACAAACTTTATTTGAGGGGACTTAGCTCAGCAGTATAAGCACCTGCCTGGCAAGCAAGGTCGTGAGTTTGATCTCTGATACCAAAAAAAAAATCTTTATTTGAAGAAACACAGATTTTCCTTCAAAATCTAATTACCTCGATTTTCTGGAAGCTAAGAAAATTTTCCTTTCCAGTAACTTTTCTAGCAGTACTTTAGTGAACAATTCATAAATTATGAAAAGTAATTTTCTACCAAACATTATCCATTATAAAAACTAAAGCAAACTGAGCTGAAAATTTAGCCCAGTGGCATAAGCGCCTGCCTGGCAACTGCGAGGTCATGAGTTCAATCCTTGGTTCAAAAAAAACAAAACAAGCAGGGGCTGGGGATTTAGCTCAGCGGCATAAGCACCTGTCTTGCAAGCAGGCAGTCGTGAGTTTGATCCCCAGTACCAACAAAAAAGAAAAAGGAAAAAAAAAAAATGAAACAAGGGCTGGGGATTTAGCTCAGTGGCATAAGTGCCTGCCTAGCAAGCTCAAGATCGTGAGTTCAATCCCCAGTACCACAAAAAAAAAAAAAAAAAAAAAAAAAAAACTAAAGCAAACTAAGTTTATGAAACCTTGAATGCAAAAATATTCATATAAATCTTTCAAGATTTATATCCAGAGTAATTCTAAAGGGCAACAGCACAGTGAATTTTCAGCCATATTTAAGAGCATAACACTATGATGGCTTAGGTTAGTAAAATATCACAAATAGGAAAAAATCTCAAATTTAATAAAATTTTGAGGATACTGTTCAGTTCTAGATTACTTTAAAACATGCAATTTTATCTATTGATAGCTCTAAACCTAAAATCTGAAACTAATTCAAGAGTAACCACAGTTTCAATCTAAAGACGTTCTAATACATTTTATTTTATTGTTATATTCATAATATAAAACAAAATTTTAAAAGCCTAAATCAAAACAGTACATTTTATTCAGAAAAGAATTGATAGGCAGTGTAAGTATTTTAAGATGCTATGAGGCAGCAGTATAGTTTAAATCTGCTTTTATTTTTTGTTTTTTTTTTTTGGCTTTTTTGGAACCAGGGTTCAAACTCACGGCCTCATGCTTGCCAGGCAGGCACTGTGCGTCTAAGCTGTATCCTCAGCCTCTTTGTTTTGGTTTTGTGAGACAGGTCTGGCTCTGTAGTGCAGGATGACCTAAACTCAGTATGAAACCAAGGCTGGTCTTCGACTCACAGTGATCCTCCTGCCCCAGCCTCCTGAGTGCTGGGATTATGGGAGTATGACACCATGCCCAGCTAGTTTTAATCTTTCTATAGGAAATCAAGCAAAATACACATTGTTTCATCTCCTCACTTTAAACTACCTCCTTAATAAAACTGGATGCAAAAATTAGTGAGTTTAAGAAAAAAGTGTAATTTATATAACTCAACTTTATAATACACAAAGGCCGCTTAACAAGGGCTGTCCCTCCTCAGTGCTTAGCAGAGAACCTACAAGTATCCTAAAAGTTTACAATGATATTAAGGTAAAGAAAACCAACCTGGCATGGTGGCCCACGGCTGTAATCCCAGCACTAAAGAGGCTGAGGCAGGAGGCTCACCATGAGTTCAAGGCCAGCCTGAACTGCATAGTGAGACCCTGTCTCTGAAAAACAAAACAAAAAACAAAACCAGAAAAACCAAATAGTTATGAAGTCAAAAAGGCTTTGGAATGTCTCTGTTTTTGAAAGGCTCCTTTGTTATCATGTTACTTGATAATGGTTAACAGCCAGAGAAATGTTGCCCTCTGTTATAAAGTCCACAAAGTAAAATTGTGAAAACATAACAAAGGGCACAACATCGAGCAGCATACAAGAGATTAAAAAAGAAAATAACACAAAATGCTGTTCTCAATCTACCAAGCAGAATTATTAAAGAAGCTAATACTAGGGGCTGGGGATTTAGCTCAGTGGCGTAAGCACCTGCCTTGCAAGCAGGCAGTCGTGAGTTCGATCCCTGGTACCGATAAAAACGAAAAGACAAAAAAAAAAAGAAGCTAATACTGTCAAGCCATCTGGCAATTAAAAAAAAACTACTGCTTTTGTACAGATTTTCTTTATGTTCAAAGATAATTTATTTAAAATTTATTTAAGAATTAGATTTCACAACTTACGACATCTGTCAACCATAAAAATGGTCTTTCATAAAGTCTTTATGATCATCTTTAAAATCCGTATTTGTTCATAACTATGTTCCTTAAAACAATGTCTTAACTTTAAGGGCCACATAATAAGGGCTATCCCTTGTCAGTGCCTAGCAGAGAACCTAAAAGTATCCTTATCTTATTTTGCTTCTAAAAGATGTATGCATTTATAACAAATGTTTGTTATTACATGCTTTACTACATGCTTAATGATATATATCTTAGTTTAGGAGACTACACTTGTAAAACAATCTTGTTGGGAAATCTTGCTAACTATTTCTCTTAATAAAATGTTCCAAAGCAGAAATGTTTTCAAGACAATGCTGGTACTTCTTTTTGGTACTGGAGATTGAACTCACAACCTCACACTTTCCATGCAGGCGCTTGTGCCACTGAGCTATATTCCTGACCCAAGATTTCTATTTTCATACTTCCTTTCCTCCTGTAGTCAACCAGAGAATGATAGGGAACATTAGAGGACATGGGGTGGGTGTGCTTTAAAATATCATATAACCACTGCTATGGTTTAGATCATAAGTGTTGCCCCAAAGTCTTATGTGTTCAAAGATGAGGATTAAGCCACTATAGAAACTTAGGATGGAGGTCGTACTTGAAGGTAGTGGGTCATGAAGGTATGATCTTTGAGAATATATTATCTTATTCCTGCCATCTTACTCTCTGGTTTTTTCTTTCATGGCTTTCATGGCTTTTTCTTGCTTCTGGCTACCATAAGGGGAATAGCACCGCTCTCTGCCACTCCCTTCCACCATGATTTTTCTGACTGGAAGTTAGCCAGTCATAGACTCTAAAACCATGAGCCAAAATCTTTCCTCCTCTATGTTGTTTTCCTCAAGTGTTTGTTCACAAAGGCTCACTAATATACACAATGTGATATATCTTAATGAAAAAAGTCATCTCAAGATACACTTTAATAAAGTTCTAACAAATTTAATAATCTAGATTCTATAGTAACATATTACAACTTCCCTGTTTCTTAAAAGCAAGCAACTAATTTGTCTGATATAAGTTAACTGGCACTGTTTTGAATATTTTTGTTGCCTTGTTATGAATTATTTTCCTAACCTTTTTCATTTCTTCCACATATGCAATCATGGCTTCTTCTTTAGTCATATCACCCAATGAACTCCAAGCATCCCTGGAAATGAAAATATACACATAATGACAAAAAGATACCTGACTTTCAACTGTGTCGAATAAATAGCTGATGCAATATGATTGTTAATTTAGAAGAAGTTCTATGAAAAGCTATGTATAGTTCCAAAGAATTTCTCTAATAAATGTATCACCTTGAAGAAAACTTAGCATTCAGAGGCTCTTAAAATACATTTCATCAACTATCACACCTTGTTGAAAAGCATAATCTAAATGGACTTTTGTCAGACATTTGAAAAGTGTGCAATAATATTTTAAGAATATAAAATGTTAGTCAATTGGGAAAATGACAGAACATCTTGGTAGTTTATGATTATTCTGTAAGTACATTGAAAATCAAATTACTTCAAGTACAGTAGATTAGAAAAGACAGCACAGATGAAAAAGTTGATGTGGCAGTACTTGAGTCACACTCCTAGTTACACATTATCTTAAAGGCCCAAAACATGTAACATCACTTGACAAGCAAAAGTCCTATTTTCCTTGGCAGCTAAAAGAGGTAGGAGAGTTTGTTTGCTCTTTTTCTTAGTTTGTCAGTCTCCCTAGGCATTAAAAAAAGGAAGACAGAAGTGGTGGTGCACGTCTGTAATCCCAGCAGAGAGGCTAAGGCAAGAGGATCGCTGCAAGTTAAAAGGCCAGCCAAGTCTACACAGTGAGTTCAGGGCTGGTCTGAACTACACAGTGAGACCTTGTCTCAAAAAAACAAAAAACAAAACAAAGCAAAACCACCGAAAGGAAGGAAGGAAGACAGGAAGAAAAAAGAAAGACAGACGGACTCTAGGGGCTGGAGGTTTAGCTCAGTGGCACAAGTGCCTGCCTTGCAAGTGCGAGGTCATGAATTCAAACCCTGTTACCAAAAAAGGAAAGACTCTATAAAAGGAAAGTGCTTTTGTATGTTTCATGTACTACCCTTGTTGGTTTTATCGTGTTCCACAAGATTTTCTAGCACTCAGGAGGGTAAGGCAGGAGGATCACTGCAAATTCAACATCAGCCTAGGCTACAAAGTGAGCTCAAAGCCAGCTTGAACTGCATACTGAGACCTTCTCAAAAACACACACACAGCCAGGCATGGTGGTGTACTCCTATAATCCCAGCACTGGGGAGGCTGAGATAGGAATATTGTCACAAATTCTAGATCAGCCTGGGCTACAAAGTGAGCTCTAGGCCAGCCTGAACAGCACAGCAGGACTCTGTCTCAAAAAAGACCAACACACACACACACACACACAAGATTTTCCTATTGTATAAAACTGTATTAAGGGTACCTGAAGGATAGAAACCATATCCAGTACCTGGGACACTTTATGTACAAAATAATATGTAACACGTAAGTAATAGCTATATGATAATTAAGTCAATAAAATTCTTTCTTAGCTCTATAATAAAATTACCATTTGTATCTTCCAATAGGATCCCAGAATCCCGGCCTTGAAAGTTTACAGGGTCCTTCAGTTGCCTGTTTATAGAAACTATAGAACTTGAGCATCATTTCATGCGTTGGCTGGAATGAACCTATTGGAAACATCCATCAAATTCAACACACTTAAGGAATACAACCTGTAACTTAAGGTTATATATTAGCTTACCTATAAAGTGCTAGTAGTAATTGTATATTTTATTAATGGTTCAGGTAATTTACTTCTATATTAGAAACAAAAGTTATGGTAGCTATATTAATTGCTTTGTTCCTCTGCTTTCAAAAAAACTCTGAAAATTTAAACTTTTATAACAATGCCAAAAACAGTTCATTAAAAAACATGCACATGGGGCTGGAGATTTAGCTCAGCAGCATAAGGGCCTGACTTGCAAGTGTGTGGTCGTGAGTTCGATTCCTGGTACTGATAAAAAAGAAAAAGACAAAAAAAAAAAAATGCTACAGGTATAGTAAAAATAACCACCAAACATAAAAATAAATACATTGTAACACAGAATAGTATTACCCTAAGTAAAACGGTGACAATCAAAACTGACTAGCATATCTCTGGCGAATAAAATTGCTACAGTAAAAACCCAACTCCTAGACAAATTTCAATTTCCCACTGGATAAAAGAACTTTTCTAAAGTCAACTAGTACACACTTTGGTAGAAAAAGAATCAGTTTAACATAAAGTAGAGTTCTCAATTTCTACTTCTTTCAGTTTGAACTCACCAATTTCTTAGAAGATAAATCTTCATATATTTTCTAGCATAGGGATAAGCTTGTCAAGGTTTAAAATAGTCAAATTGCATTAGCACGCACTATAAGTTGCAATATTTTTAATAAAAATGAACCTGAAATGTTATCATAAATGATTAAATATGGCATACACACACAATAGATTCATTTATAAATATGGCTCTATATTGTACTGTAGAAAAATACAAATAATAATGAGACATTCCATGATCTGCTATAAGGAAGAAAAAGCAGTTGAAAAAGAACACACACAGGTGGCACACACTTGTAATCCTAGCCTCCAAGAAGCTTGAGGCAGGAAGGTCTCAAATTGAGCCCAGCTTAGACAACCTACTGACTTAGCAAGTTCCCTGTCTCAAAAAAAGAGCAAGTTTTTAAAAGAGCCTGGGATATAACTTAGTACAAAATACCTATGTTCAATTCTCAGTACAAAAAAAAAAAATCAGCCAGGTGTGGTAGGATATGCTTGTAATCCCAGTACTTGGGAGGCAAAGGTAGAAAAATCTCCATAAATTTGAGGCCAGCCTGGGTTACAGAAGCAAGTTCAAGGTCAGCCTGCACTACCTGTGAGACTGTGTCTCAAAAACAAAAAAAAATAGTATATATGATGATTTATTTTTGTAAGTTTTACATATGTAAAGAGGATATACATCAAAATTTAAAATGGGCCATCTAAACAACTGGGGTTTTTTGTTGTTGTTGTTGTTGTTGTTATTTTGTCTTTTTCCTTTTTATCAATACTGGGGATCGAACTCACGACTGCCTGCTTGCAAGACAGGTGCTTATGCCGGTGAGGTAAATCCCCAGCCCCAACAAGTTATTTTTAAAACTGCATAGCATAAAATGATAAAATGGTAATCATAAATGACTGCATTTACAATTTACAAAAGCTGCATAAATTACAAGAGACAAGCTGAGAGCTGGTATTTCAAGTGGTTTGTTTGGGTTTTTGGGGGGCAGGAATTGAACCTGCAACCTAGTGCTTGCCAGGCAGGCGCTTATGCCGCTGAGCTAAATCCTTGGCTTTGGTGTTTCAAGTTTGGCCAACAGTGCATAATTAATTTAAAAATCACAACAGCAATTCTCTGTATAATATATGCATACTTAGAAGTATCAGATATCACAGTTTCAATGATGTAACTGTCCTTTATACCATATAAAAAGTGGAGAAACCAAAGTAATTATTGCTAATAACATATCTAAATTTTAAAATTCTAGAATCACATTTTATAGTACCTTCAAGTAAGCCAACCAAGTCAGTTTTAAATTCAGTGCAATACATAATACATACAAAAAAAAAACCATAGAATTTTTACTGTAGGTCTTCTGTAAGATATTAAAGTATGATTTCTGTCTTCAAAGTAACCATTTCTTTTTGAGGTTTTTGTTTTTTTGGTTTTTGTTTTTTTGTTTTTTTTTTTTTTTTTGGTATACAGGATCAAACTCAGGACCTCCTGCTTGCCAGGCAGTTGCTTATGCCTCTGAGCTAAATCCCGAGCATACCCATGTTTTTAATATGCATTTAAAAAATTTAAGAATTTACATTTCTAAAAATCAAAGTCATGTCAAGTACAGATGGCCTAGGATTCATTGTTACTTTAGGTCTTAAAGATTAAGTAATAAAAACCAGAAACACTATCTTGTTCTTCAAGAGATAGTTCAAAATAGAAACTTTAAAATAGAAGTATAAAACATTCAGTAATTCATTATAACAAAATTGTGGCCACATAAGTATCAATTTAATTTCAGAGGGTAAAAGTATAGGCTGCTCTTTTTTTATTCTGGGAATCAGACCCAGGGTCCCCTGCAAGTTAAGCGCAAATTCTACACTGAGCTATGGCAGCACGCTCAAAAGTGCCACTTGACAGATTATCACAATTTTGCAATACCTTCTTAAAGTTATATGGTGTTCTTACTAAATAGAATATAATGCTATAAGAGATAGGTTACATCAAATGTAGCTTTTTCAAAAAAAATTATAAAAATGCCGTTTTCAAAAATGAATGTATTACACAAAACTCTTAGAGTCATACCTTTGTTTATTCTTATTTGCCTACAATGGATGTTTGGAATTACAGAAAGAACACTATTACAGTGTTCCTTTCAAAACTAGGTGGGAGGTTGCTGGGGACTGAACTCAAGGTTACCTGCATGTTAAGCACAGCTGTACTGCTGCTTTCAAAACTTTCTGAATCTGCACTTAGAGAATTTTTATTGGGTGAATGGTCATGAATATTCTTTATTTAGCCAAATGATAATTTAAAAAACAAAATCCATGAACAAAATATTAAACACTATAGTAATATATCAACGCTGTATCCAGTTAGGTTTACAAGTCTGGTATGATAATGCTTCAAAGCATTTTTTTTTTCCTATTGGTACCAAAAATTGAACTCAGGACCTTGCGCTTGGCAGGCAGGCACTGTGCCACTAAACTGTATCCGGCCCCCTTAAAAGTATTCTTTAAAAATATAGTTTATTAGGACTGGGGATTTAGCTCAGTGGCATAAGTGCCTCCTGTCAATCGTGACGTCATGTGTTCAATCCCCAGTATCAAAAAAAAAAAAAAAAATATATATATATATATATATATATATATAGAGAGAGAGAGAGAGAGAGAGAGAGAGAGAGAGAGAGAGAGATTGAGTGTTTATTGTAAGGATTAATTCACGTGATGTAAAAGGTCATGAATCAGGAAATAAGTCTCTTTCCCCAAGCTTTTCCATTTAGAAAATGTATGCATGTATTTAAAAAATAATGGCCAAAAATTTCTAACATTGATGAAAGACAAAATTACAAATGGGAAAAGCTCAGCAAACTGTGAAAAGGATATATAGGCAGAAAACCATACTTAAGACACATCATAGACAATTACTGAAAACCAATGCAAAAAATCTTCAAAACACCCAAAGAAATACATTAAACTTGGTTTTTCTCTCAACTTGCACTCAAGTTCCATATGAGTATAAAAAAGAACAATAAAACAATAGAACAGCAAAAAAGGAATAAATATGTATCTATTAAAATAAAAAATCGTCTCAGATGAATATAGCTGTTCTTTTCTCCTCTCATATCAAAAGTTTTCAAAAGGTTTGAATCATACACTTTAAGTATGTGCGACAAGGCATTCCTAGCTCCAATTTTTTTTTTAACATACTCAAATCCACAGTCATTAAGTGAGAAACTCGGTTTTAAGCAATGCGAACCACTTAAAATTTGGGTATGTCCTTCTCTGGGTTGAAAGACAGGCTAGTAATTAATTCACACTCAGTACCTCCCCTTCCGTCACATTGTTTTTCAACACATTCAAAAGTAGGACAAACACGTCATACAGACGCGGAGATCCGGGGGCCCAGGCTTCTTACCATTTTTCGGCAAACTCTGGATCACTTTGACAGCCGCCTCGAATCTGGTTTCATGCACGGACTTCGCGTCCGCCATCTCCAGCAGCCAGCGCCGGCCGCGGCCCCAAGAGCTGTCGGCTGGGATCAGGCGGCGGCGGCAGCAGCAGGGGCAGCAGCACAACCAGCTTCCCCAGGAGTCTGCATAAAACTGGAACACCGAGCGCAGCCAAGGATCAGCACGCCCCAAGGGCGGAGGCGACCCGCGGGCGCAGCCGGTCAGGTCCCCTCTGCCCGCCCTCTCCAGGCCACTTGGACCGAGGTGACCCGGCTCCCTCCCTCTCCCCAGGGCGTGACTAGGCCCAGAGCTCACCCCGCGACATCAACCTAACGACTCACCCACAAGAACATCTCTAGCCAAAGGCAGGGGGCGCTTGGCCTACCGCGCAGACTAAACCGCGATACCCCGCGGCGGACAGGGCTCGGCAGCCACGCCCCCATTCCCGTGGAACCCGCGGGGCACAGGGACCCGCAGCCCCGCCTGGAGCCGGACCGGAGCGGCCGCCGAACCCCAACCCCATGCCCCACCCACCACCGTGGGTGTTACGCGAGCGGCCCGGGCTAAGCCATAGGGGCCTAGAAGAGTAGCCGCGACCCGGATTGGTCTGCGGAGGACCCCACACTTGTTTGCGTGCTGGGGGAGGGGGGCGCCGAGGCGGGAGCGAGCTGGGGACCAGGGCTGGGTTCTGTGCGTGGGAAGGGGAAAAGACAACCCAGGGTTCCCGGAAAGGGCTTTAGAGCCACAGAGGCTCGGGGCAACTCCGGTTCTGCCACTCCAGGACTGTACATCCTCTCCAGCGGCATCACCTCGCGGGTCTCGAGAGTGCAGGATCGGGGTATCGCGGAGGTGCTCAGCGGCTTCAGGCCGGACGCCGGGAAAAGCAGCCTTCAGGCAAGAGGCTGGCCCGCGTCCGTCCCTCCTCCGCCCCGCTCCGCGCAGGGAAGCGGGGCACAGCCGGCTGCCGGCCAGCTAGAATCCGAGGGAGCGTGGGACAGATGCACAGGGACCGATGGGCCCGGAACTAATGGAAGGGCGCCCTGCCCCCTCCCCATCTGCGACCCCCGACGCTAGGGAAGCACGCCTGGTGGTGCAGGGAGGGAGCTCGGGTTGTGGAGGTAAGGTCCTGGGCCAGGAACACTGAGTCGCCCGGCGGAACAGTCATTTTGTCAGTTCAGGCTGTCAGGCAAGAAAACTGCAAATCTATCGCAGGCCACGAGTCACTCCCCTTGGAGCCGAGCTACCAGCATTTACCTTGGTACTGCGGGACTAGGCCCGTCGCTTACGGTCCGCGGCACCCACCAAGCGCCCTGCTCCGCGGGCTTCTGGGAAACGTAGTCCTCGTGCGGCTCTTCCGCCTCGCCTCCCAGCCGGGGTGAACCTGTTCGGTTCCTCTGGCTTCCGGGGTCGGCCCGGAAGTCCCCTTTCCTTGTCATGTCGCACTAGGGTGCAACCGGTGAAGGTGCGGCATCTGTCTCTATGGCCCTTTCCAGGCCTTAGAGACATCCCAGGGTCATTGACCAGGAGTGCGGGAACTGAGTCTGGTTTCTTTTCCCCGAGCTTCCTCGAGGCCATCTGTGTGAATGAGAAGAGTACCATCAGATAATAGACTGCCCATTGTCTGCTGTTTGAAAACAGTGTTACAAATACACTGCGAGGTGTTTATGAATGAGGAAACTCAAACACATTAGCCAATGTGCCTAAGGTCTCACAGTTTCTTAAGTAGCTGAGCTAACACTCAGTTCAAAACCTGCTGCTTTCGACTTTGGACTTTGGCCAGCACACCAAAGGAAGACATAATTTCCTAATTTACCCAGATTTGGAATGCTCTTTATATTTAATACGAATTGCAAACATATACTAATAAAAAGTGGGGAATAAAAGAATATTCGGCTCTAGGTATATATCTTCCTCATCTTTTATTACACTTTATTACAAGCTTCACAGTACCATTTTACTTAGTCTTGCATACTTACAGATGTTGGATGTTTATTTCTAAAGTAAGATTTCATTATGACAATAAGAATTCTGTAATAAATTACGTTACTGGTTATGTTGGTCTTTTTTTTTTTTTTTTTTTTTTTTTTTGTCTTTTTTATCGGTACCGGGGATCGAACTCAGGACTGCCTGCTTGCAAGGCAGGCGCTTATGCCGCTGAGCTAAATCCCCAGCCCCTGGTTATGTTGCTCTTTAGGTAATGATGAATGTACATTTTCTGCCCGTCACTACTTAATTTGCATTTGGTTGTATAATTAAATTCTGGTTACAAAAATTGATAGAACTGTGGGGGACCAGTGGTGGCTGAAATATAAATGACCTTTATTTTGAGAATACAGGGAGAGACACCCCCGTGCCCCTGGAGTGCAGCATCCCCCCCCCCCCCCGAGGGTCAAAGATTTCTGTCCGTGGAACACGTAGAGTGGAGGCATATAAGTAGCCTAGGTTTGGGGTTGAACCTAAGGGGGCATTAGGGATGCACAGGTAGCCCATTGGTCTTTGTTTGGTGCCATAGGTAAATTCCTAGGGGTGGGGGAGATAGGAGCTCCTTTGTTCCCCCTAAGGCTTTACCAGCTACAGTGTCCTGTCTGGCCAATACTCTTTCATATCCCATCTTATGATTATTATTATGAAAAGGGGTGAAGATTTCTCTCTTTAACTACTTCCTGCTGGAAGAGGGCGCTGTACTGGGGTCTAGGGAGTCAACAGGATGACGGTTGATGCCCAGGTAGAAGCTGGTGCCAGGTGTTTTAGCCAGGACAACTTCACTGGTGAATGCACATATGTTAGACTGGAAAAACAAAGAGACAAGATGTTATGAGGAGGCATGGCACTGTCATATTTAAGGACCCAGGTGAGGTAAAAGGAAAGGTGCCTTTGATTTAGATATGTCATTATATCAGGACCATGTTGAGGTAGAAACATTTCCACAGTAAGACAGAATTCTAAAAATTAAACGTGGGATTAGGAGGAGTGAAGTTATGAGAGGTGATTACTGCCCCATATGAAAGGGTAAAAGTTAACAGGGAAAGGCTTGTCTCTGGTATGCATGACGTGGAAGTCTTTAGGAAATATTGTTAAGAGTCCTGCTGTAAAAAGAATAAGAAATTAGAAACCAAATTGGATAGATCTAGGACTATAAGGGCACCACTTAGCCTGAGTGATGTGAAACCAGGATGGCAGTCTAGCAACTTTGATCACTGTTGAGGTTGTCAAGAATATCAGGTATGGGTCCCTGTTACCTGGTTGTAGTCTTTGAAATGATTTGCTGTAACAGAACTTTAGCAGTCTCCCTGGTTGTGTGAAAGGCTTCTGTATATCCTGAAAAAGTATAAACAAAAGTGAGAAGACAAAATTTATCTGTCAATGTAGACCAGGGTTGCCTGAGAAATTGGTGAATAAGAAAGGAAGGAGGTGGTCTTATATCACTGAGGACAGTTTTAGTAGTAATAACAGGTGTAAGCTGTTGAAGCCTCAGTGTGTCTAAGTCAGTCTGTATAAACACAAGGGAATAGAAAGCATTTTTAAGATTTAGGACTGAAGAGTGAGGGGTGGAGGGAAGATTTGGCACCACTGGGTGGACTGGGAAGCAGTCTGGGACCTGCACGAAATAGGCCTGTTTATAAATGGCATAGGTTGACCTTTATTACCCCCTAGAGTTTGAGGATTTAATATAGCAGCCTGAAAACTCAGGATATATATATTTATGTATATATATATATATATATATCTGTATATATGTATATATACTCTGAGTATATATGTATATATACTTGGTATATATGGCCTCTATGTCCACAAGTATAGAGAATGTCTTACCTGAGACTGTTAGTGGGACTTGGACTCTGAGACGGACATCCATAAAGGGGGCTGTTGTTGGCCCTGAGACCCATCAGTCTTTAGCAGCAAGTTTAAGCAGATCTGTCGGCAATGAATCTGGCAGTGTTGGCATTTCCTTTGAGGGTTAGAAGTTAGGATGGCTTACCCACTCTCTGGTGGCTAGGACAGTCCAGTAGCCCTGGGGTAAGGTTCCCAAAGGAACGCCAGGATGGGGCACTCTCTTGCCCAATGTCTTCTGCTGCATTTGAGGCATGGTCCATGGGGGGGGGCACAGGCAGGCAGCTCCATGTTGTGTTGGTTTACTTGTCTCAGAACTCCAAGTGTGACAAGTGTCATCTCTGTTGTTGAAATATGAAAAGCCATATTAAGATCTCTATGAGGTTTGAAGGTAAAGTTTTGCCTTTTTGTTTGGGATTTGGACTACAGTCTGAAAACACAAACAGCATCAGATCAGCAATATAATGAGTTATCTGTTGCGGAGCAGACAGAGCCTTGCTTGAGCTTGGGGGCCGGGACTGGTCTGGGGCACACACAGAGCACACCCAGCATGGGGGCGGGACATACAGAGTGAAGGTGGGGCAAGTGCCCGGAGGTAGCTCTCGGGCGGGCTGGGACTGCCCCCGGAAATGCGCAAGGCGGAAGTGGTGCCAGCGCATGGCGCACAAGGGGGCAGAGCTGGGAGGCGGAGTTGGGACGCTGGTGAAGCTGGGGTTGCTCCTGGAGGCTGGGCTGCTATGTGGAGGAACCGCTCAAGGGACACGCAGATTAGGGTGTGGCACTAATTAAAGTCGAACCTCACACGGGTCTGCCGCATGAGAACTGAGATACCACGCAGAGTTGGGGCGCAGTATGAAAGCCTAAAGCAGCAGTATCTCCCAACACTGTCTGGGCTGGATCGCGCATGAGAGGTTAAAGCAACACTCTCTCAATATCTCTCAACACTGTTTGGGCTCATTTTTGTATCTCAGCAGGGAATGGGTCCACACGCACGGCAGGGAGGGGCAGGGAGGGGAAGCAGGGAGGAAAGGAGACACTGAAAAAGCACTGAAAGGCTGCAAGGAAAGATGCTATTATCTCTTTAAGTGTGGGGAGGGGGAGGGATCCTGGAGGAGCGGGAAAGGACACACATTCCCAAAACAAGGGCTTAAAGATAGAGAGTTTTGTAAACTTGTCATCCGTGTGGTAAGCTATAAATAGGTATGGTTTTTGGGGGAGGGACAGGAAATGGTGCCCAATATAAAATCTGGTATGGGGTCTAGCCCACAGAGTTATAGCCAGATGAGACAACGGACCATGGTCTGCTAAGTTTAAAGTCATCACTTTTTACTCTAGACTGATCAGTATTTTATGGTTCCAAAACTCATAATAATTGGCCATCACTAATATATGAGTGGATTTCACATGGGTTTAGTAACAACTCTGCCTGTGAGAACTTAAAAAGCTCTGAAGGATGTGAGAGTTTTCCAGTGTGGACATAAGCTGGCCCAGGAAGACTCTGCCTTGGGCTATCTGATCCCAAAGGACATGACAGTCCCCCAGTGTGGACGCAGGTTGGCCCAGAAAGACGCTGTCTTGGGTTATCTAAGGACATGAGAGTATCACTCAAACCCACAGAAAGAGGGGGGAAACCCGCCTGGGGCCTGGCCCATCATCAATTTCCAGGGGTAGCTCACCTGTGGTAAATTGGGTCGGTATTGTTTGCGAATCAGCAGCGACAAGTTTACAGCTCCTGAGTGTAGAAGTGAGGAATTAATGCAGGATGCAATCTGGTCCTAGTCTTGAACATCAGGGGACTCAAACTGAGAAAGCCCCAGGAGTCTCTCGTCTGCCGTTCCTGGTCAGGGAACCATATGATAAAACTGCGGGGGACCAGTGGCGGCTGAAAAGATAAGAAGTATGAAATATAAATTACCTTTATTTTGAGAATGCAGGGAGAGACACCCCGGAACCCCTGGGGCGCGGCATCTCCCCCTGGGGTCGGCGATCTCTGTCCATGGAACATGTGGAATGGAGGCATATAAGTAGCCTCGGTTTGGGGTTGAACCTAAGGGGGCATTAAGGATGCACAGGTAGCTCATTGGTCTTTGTTTGGTGCCATAGGTAAATTCCTAGGGGAGGAGATGGGAGTCACAGGTAAATTCCTAGGGGTGGGGTAGATAGGAGCTCCTTGGTACTGCCTAAGGCTTTACCAGCTACAGTGTCCTGTCTGGGCCAAAACTCTTTCAAAAATAACATAAAGATGAAGGAAATTGATATTATTCATGTAAAGTTATTTAAAAAGCAGTTCTTTTTTTAACCAAGAAATGAAAACAGCCTAACTAACGAATAGATAAGATATAATACATACTCACCATGGAATACTAGTTAATCACCATAAAAAGCAAATTCTGTCATATGTGATAGCATGGGTAGAACTGGAGGTTATTATGTTAATTAAAATAAGCCAGCACAGAAAGACAAGTCCACACAACCTCATTCTTTGAAGAACATATAAAAGTTGATCTCAGAAGTTTGGGTGGCCTGCCTGGCAAGCACAAAGTCATGAGTTCAATCCACAGTACCAATAAATAAATAAGTAAGTAAGAAAGTTAGGGTGGTTACCAGACCACGGGAAAGTAGAACAGACAATGGTAGAAAAGAGCAAGGGGGACTTTTGATCAATGGGTGCTCTTGTAAGTTAACGTTAGGAATGAGAAGTTCTAGTGTGATAGTAAACAATAGAATGACTACAGATAACAAGATTATATTGCACATTTCAAAAATCCAGAAAAAATAGGTTTGCATAATGTCTCATAAAGAAGTAAGTTTGAGGAGTGTGTCGTGATATATGCATATACCTAAAAACCACGTAGTACTCCATATGTATGTACAAGCATGCCTGTATTACTAGCTACTGAGGAAAGGAGATCTTATAGGAAATACAGTCTCAAACAGAATGGAAGACTGTGTTGAGGAGTTAGAAGACAACTGTTTATTATGCTAATGGGCTAGTGGAACCAAGTCCAAATCACTAGTAGTGACTGAAAGTTAAACAGAAACTTATGAAATACCTGTAAATTTGCTATTTTATTAGTGTGCCTTCACACTGTAATTGAGCCCCAACAGTACCACATAGCAAGACACAACTAAAAAGACAAAATAAAACAAAAACTCTTTTTTAAGTAGCTGTGCTGGCTTAAATGTGCCAATTCCTACTGG